CTGCATTTCTCATTTGCTTTCTTCATTCTTCATGATTCTCCCGCGATACGAGGTTAGATTTTCATTGATAGAGATCCTGTTAGCTTCTGTTGTTGTCGCGTAAGAAGAACCAGGGAAAAGATCGGTCATCTTGATGCTTTTCAGTTTAGTTCGTGCACGAAACAGATTTGACTTAACTTTATGGCTGATAAATTTCGCGATTATAGCCTTGTTGCCCTTGTTGTTGAGCTCATGAGAGATTTCGATATCCTGAGGGACCACAGCAGGGACCTCCAACGCCTCTGAAATTTTTAATATAACCTCCTCTGGCGAAGAGTAAGCTCTCTCAGGGATTCCATGAAACTCGAGCGAATTCTTTCTAGTGCATTGTTCCAGGCGATCTTGCAGGTCATACAATTCCACTATTTCCTCTTCCTGTCCGGCTAATTGATCTCTAGCGGCGGCCAGTTCTTTTTCAAAGTTCGCACACTGTTTTGTAGTTAGATCTAAAGCCTCCTTGATGGCAGATAACTCAGCTTTCTGTTTTTGTACGATAGTTTTAAGCTCCATTGCCTCACCACTGATTCTCTTGTTTCCAAGCAAAATGTTGTTGACAGTAATTTGAATATCTACCAGCATTTCTCTGAGGTCACCGAGGCTAGGTTCTTGACATATTTCCAGAGGTGCTTCTGTTGAAGAGTCTTCTTTCTCTCCACCTTCGATCGCCGCCATGTTGGCTCGCTTTGGCGTTGTAAGGTCTTCTTCGGTCGACCCACGGTCTGCTCTTTTATGTTTTCGGCCGTTGTTTACCATAAGTTTGTGTAAGGTACCATTACTCGAGGTTCATACGCCAAGATGTTGGAATATTGATGAAAAAATTCCCAAAACTTGACGAAGTGGACTCCTGCTTCAAAGTCGTGCCACCACACGCAAACGCCACGCATGCTCCCCCACCAAATCCTTTGTCGACCTTGTTAAGCATTTATTCTTGTCAACTCTATTTAACACTTTCAGTCAAAGGCAAGCTTTTTAAAATCATTTTAAAAGACAATGGCACTTGTGTAATCATAGTTGATACAAACAAACCTTGCCCTTATATGGGCAATATAGGTATGTGCGGCCCCAAAGGATGTGGTTTTTCAGTCATCTTGGTCATAGGGGATCGATTTTGGCCATTTTGGTCAGAAATAGGGTGTGTTTTTTTTTCACTCTGGTCTTGAATTAAGTATGTTCTTTAAAAGAAGCTACTTTTTCATCATTATCGATAAGACCATCACCAAAAGCCCTTCACAAATTATGTTTAGAGTAGCTGTGCCAGCCGCAACGGCCATAAAAAGGGTGTCTAATTTTTTTTTTCTTTTTTTTTTTTTTATTGCCACACACTTATAATATTTACAATACATATACGCACATTAATTACAATTCTAAAACAACTACATACTCTACTTACAGTACCACATTTACTTACACTTCATTACAATACTGGTCTAATGCCTATCTACATATTACCCAAAAGTTACATTACAGTCAGTACAGTTCTAAAAAACATGGTATAAGTACACCTGAAGTACACTTATAAACACATTGCAAATTAAGGTACAGAGCCCATGCACAAATCCCACTTCTTGTTAAATTTGTCCATGTTATTAGTTTTAACACATATAAACTTTTCTATTTCATACTTAACTTTCGCCTTTAGTTTAAAGGCGTTTATCATAGAAGGAATCAGATTTCTTCTGCAATCTCATATATATAATTTAGCGACTAGTATCAAATAGTTCAGTTAAGTGTAATTTGGGTAAATAGTGCCAATCATGACATCTTGCAAAGTAAGGTGGACGAATTCTCTTGTCAGTTGGTAGAAGAAGTATTCAAAATCTTTCCAACAACGTTGCACAAGGCTACAATGAAAAAGGAGATGGTGAAGGGTTTCTGGTTCTGAATTACAGAACGAACATTTATCCTCTGAGATGTAACCTTGTATTAGTAAATAGTATCGAATTAAGGACTATTGAAACGCATTTATGTATGGTTCAAAGGACACCTTATGCGGTAGCCAGAAGACCTTTGTCAGATGACCTTCTGATAAATCAAAAGTTTGTCTCAGATGTTGAGAATTGTTTGGGAGCTGCGCTTTTGAGCTTTTTATTAATGTCTAGTAGTCCTTAGATTTCTTTTTTAATAACACATCAAAGTCTTTGTTATTTATCGCTACCAATAAAAACATTTCGGAGGGAGTGCTTTCCTTGGTTTTTAGGTTTAATGGTGCGGAGTGACGAAGTCCTGCCAAAGTTAAAAAGTTAGTTTTGCTTATTTTGCTGAAATAGTCTTAAAAGAATTTGCGGTATCTGTTTCAAATAAAAGATCGTTTACATAAATTATGCCGTTTTCAAAAAGAGTTCCATAGAAGATGGGCTTATTGTTTATTCGTATCTCTTTGTTGTTCCACACTATATGTTGCCATTCTTGTTTAGTATCGTAACCGTCTCGGAATTCTGACCACCACTGAAGTAACTCAGAATAAAAAAGGGAAGGAACATGATGGTCTGTAATATCGTAATTGCAATAAAATAAAAAGAGACCTCGTAACACTTCAATGAAACTCGTGGGTAGCTTTTCCAAACACCACCATTCTCTCCAAAGATTCTTTTCAGCCAGGCTAGCCGTAACGATTTAACTATACTTTCAAGATCGGTCATTTTTAATCCGTCATTCTCGTATTCATTTATCGTGGACAGTCTTGTTACTTTATCCGTTCCTTTCCGTAGAAATTTAAATAATATTCGGTTCAACTCTTGGACGATTTGCTTTGGAGCGGGCAGAAGTGACAAAATATAAACAAATTTAGGAATAATTAAAGACTTTATAATTGTCACTTTCCCATAAATAGAAAGACCTCTTGAAGACCAGACATTTACAAGTTTTTTGACGCTGTCCAACCTCTCGATAAAATTCTTTTCGTGCAGTAATTTAGTATCATAGGAATAATAGACCCCAAGGGCTTTGAATGGTTCGCAGCTCCATTTAATACCAAAGGGTTTTGACTGGTTATTTCTTAAGGAACCAACCCACATTCCTTAAGTTTTAGATGTATTTATCTTAAGACCTGACATTTTCCTGAAAACATTTAGGGGGTTGAAAAGGGCACGCGCCCAATCTCTGTCTGATAGAATTGCTGTCATATCATCCGCGTATTGGAGAAGCTTTGTTTCCTCTTTACCAATTGAGATACCTTTTATCGCTGTGTTTTGTCGAATTGCTATAGCAAGAGTTTCAACTACAACCACGAATAAATAAGGAGACGAGGGATCAGCCTGTCTTTCTCCTCGTTCCAACGCAAAATAACCTGTTGTAAGACCGTTATTAATAACACAACTTTGAATATTCTTGTACAGTGTCTTAACCCATCTGATGAAGTCAGGACCAAAACGAAATGCCCCCAGGCAGGTAACAGAATAATTCCACTCAACACTGTCGAATGCTTTATGAAAGTCTATAAAAATCATTAGACCTGGGATGTTTTCTTTAAGAGTAAAATCCATTAAATCAAAGATCGATCGTACAGTTTCTCCTATATAGCGATGGTTATGATAGATAATATCTGGTAGAACATTTTTTATCCTAGTCGCTAAAACCTTAGACATAATTTTCGCGTCGACATTACCAAGAGAAATTGGTCTCCAATTTTCCAAAAAGGAGCGACCTTTTCCTTTCTTTTCAATAAGAGTAATTACTGCTTATTTCTGGGAACTTGACATTTCACCTTTTTCAAAACACTCATTTGCACACCTAATCAGTGAAAGGCTCGCTAATGAGGGACCAAAATGTTTTGTAAAATTCAATTGGAATTCCGTCATTTCTTAGGGGTTTGTTGAATTGAAAGGTATCCAGAGCCTTGGCATCTTGGCATATTCTTTTGAAGTTATTTTGCCCTCGCACGATAGCATTTGTTGTTCTGTAAGGCTAGGAATATTTAAGTTATTCAAGATTTAAATTATTCAAGAAAAATTCCGTCGCTCGCGTGTTGTCCGCATTCTTAATCTGGCTTGTATTTTTTTTTATTTGCTCGAACAATTAAAACAATTAAACTTACACTAGAGTTACAAAAAAAACAGTCCACGGAGTACGTATCTACGCATTACAGTCTACACATTACATGCAACCAAAAGCTTGTATATAATTCTTGATAAAAACGTTTTTGTTCGGAAAGAATATTAAAGGGATCCGTGATAATCGAGCCACTAGTTTTCAATTTCCGCACATGTCTTTTAACATGGTTTCTTTTTTCTAAATTAAGAAAATATTTTCTACTCTTCTCGCTGTGTTCCCACCAGCGCGCTCGCGCACGAATGATGATACCTAGAAGCTTTTCTTCACAAAGAAGTTCTTATTTTTCTTGAGCCGAATTAAGAGCGTTTGCATTGTTGGCATTAGGGTCGGAATCAAATAATTGCTTAGCTTTAGCAAATTCCTTTTGAAGATTCATTTCTTTTTCTTTTCTTTCCATCGCTTTTCGTTTCGAATGCTGGATTGCATGAGCTCTGATATTATACCTAGTCCAATCCCAGATGCTTCTGTTGTCCGACCTTCTATCGGCCATTTTAGCTGTTACATCTCTAATATAGTCTTCATCAACCAAAAGCGAACAATTCATTTTCCAATGGCCCGGACCTTTGATATGTTTTTCACTGATACTGAACTCTATAGAAATGGTCGCATGATCAGTTTTTTTAAATGGCTGGAATGATATATCTGTTGTTGTAACCAAATGCTGTAAATTATTCGAAATAAGCCAGTAGGACCAGAAGTCTAAGCGGCAAAGAATCATCGACGAGTTTTGGCTCCACGTATAGCTTTTTGTGGAAGGATTTTTTACTCTCCAAATGTCAACAAGGTCGAAGCCAGCACGTAAACAATCGATGGTTGCTACTACTAATTTTCTCGGTAAAAGTATACCTCCTTTCTTATCGAGCACCGGATTAAGAGGACAATTAAGAATTATATTTTCTTCATTAGCCAAATTTTCTTTTTGCAGGATAGTTCCTAAATCTTTTAAAAAGTCGACAATATTGGTATCTTTATTTGGTGCATAAATATTGATCAATATAAAATAGCAGATTTTGGTCATAAATAGAGTAAGGGTTTTATGTAGCGGGCCGCACACCCCCACCCACTTTTTCTGGGAGTACCTCTCGGGCTGTTGTTGTTGTTGTTGTTGTTTTTCATGTAAACAACTGCCTCCTGCTGCACTGTCGTAAGTCCATTACGGACACATCGAACACTGTAGACACCGCAAAGAAGTTTGTTTGTGCAAACGAACAACGCGACATTTTGGTAAATTAAATAGAGGAATGCGCTTGGCTTAACTACGAGGGTAGCAAAAGGGGGGGGGGGTACCAATTACGCATAATGCTGAATTTTTCTATTAAATCACGCATCATGGAGAGTAGACCAATTTCGATATTTTAAAATTAGCCTAAAACAACAGACCCCAGCACGAGGCTCTGGGGAATAACTACAGAGTTTGTGGGGTTTATTCCCCAGAGCCTCATGCTGAGGTCTATTGTGTTAGGCTGAATTTTAATATATCGAAATTGGTCTATTTTTTTCACCAATCACGTGTCACGTAAAAGGAAGTAAGAACATCGCCAATTTAACTTTCTCGAACCCAAAAGCATCGATAAAAGGAGAACTCTGCCGATTCAACCACAAAAATGCATCTGTAAATATTTTAAACATTATCCCCCGAAAATAAAAGTGGTGACCTGTGCGAGAGTCCGGGAGCTCGGTCTGTATTCATGAGGCTCCTGGATAATCTGGGAGAGTTCTGAGAGTTTCCACCGTCCGTGAACAGGCTCCCGACGAGCGCGAAAAAAAAAATAAAATGGGACGAGCGAAGCGAGCCTTGCGTGGTGTGATTTTTCCCTCTCAGACCACTCGCGGCTATCTCTGCCCGCCTGTTTTTTTTTTTTTGGCCTTCCCCTATAACACAGGCTAAGTGGACAGGGAACGATCATTGGTCCTCTTTTATTTCAATGAATTTATATTAACGATTCGCCTAACTGTCTATCATTTAGCATACCTAGAATGCATGCTGATGACACCCACATTAATTACGCTGGTTCTGATTTCCATCCGATTCAGTCTAGTCTATCTCACGACCTTGAAAAACTAAGCAAATGGCTTGTGT